AAACCATTTCAGGTGACTACCTCTTGAAGCTCATGGAGAGAATGCCAAGAGTGTGCAAAGCAGTAATCAGAGCAAAGGGTGGCTATTTTGAAGAAACTAGAATATAAAACATGTTTTCAGTTATTTCACCTTTTTTTGTTAAGTACATAACTCCACATGTGTTCATTCATAGTTTTGATGCCTTCAGTGAGAATCTACAATGTAAATAGTCATGAAAATAAAGAAAACGCATTGAATGAGAAGGTGTGTCCAAACTTTTGGCCTGTACTGTATGTGTATATATATACATATATATATGTGTGTGTGTGTGTGTGTGTGTGTGTGTAGTACAGTAGGCCTACAATAAAAATACAAGACACAGTAAAAGGACAGAGAGATACAAAAATAGCATTCACAAACCTTCATTCACAAACCTTCTAACAGGCAGGTGTTTAGTTACAGGTGATTTCATTTCGTCAGCACCTTCAAATGAGACAGTAAAGCAGCAATAGTCTCATAAGGAAATAATGTGGAACAATGGCAATATTACTGTCAAAAACAAGACTTTATATAAGGAAGGCTGGATTGAAAGGGATATAATTTTTGTTGCGGATTTATTTGAAGATAATGGGAATCTTTATAGTTATGAAAATTTCTTAAAAACAAAATTCTTTCCAGTCATATTCAAAGAATTTGCTTCTGTTGTAAAGGCCAATCCTCAGAATATGCTCGGGTTAATGAAGTGTCACTTAACTTATCAAAAGATTGAGGTTCAGACACCTTCTCTCACGATTAGAGGGATTGATATACTCGATAGAAAATGTACCAATAAGCATGTTAGGAATGCACTTCATAGCTATAATAAGATCTCCCTCAGAGGAAAGTTCTTCTGGAATTCACAATTAGTCGATATTAATTAGCCTAAAACATGGCTGTGCCCCTTTCAATTCTGTATTTCAAATAAAATAAGAGAACTTAAGTTCAAAATACTACACAACATTTATCCTTGTAACAACACAATTTCCAGGTTCACAGACTTGGATGATAAATGCACTTTTTGTGGGATTGAGTCAGAGACAATTGCACATTTATTCTGTATTTGCCCTGTGTCATCTGTCTTTTGGAGGGATTTTGAGAAATATATCTATGAAAAAACTGGACATACCATCACAGTCGGTCTGAAGGATATTATTACAAGATTTGTTATTAATCTTATGCTACTGATTGGCAAATTTTACTTACATAAAATGCGAATGTCCAAATCCCTGCCAAGTTTTCACGTATTTCTGGTAGATTTTGATTTGTACATAAATACTTTAAAACTAACACAAGATGAGAAAAGTGACTATACACTGCAATACCTTAGTGACTTGTCATTAATTGATCTCAAGTAAAATGGAATTTACTGCGCCTTATAGCCTTTACTTCTCTTTTCTTTGTTTTGTTTTTATTTTCATTTTGCAATAATCCTGACAAGACCTGATGTAACCCACATTATACTGATGTAATTATGTGTTCTATTATGTGCCAAATGTCTACATGTGCCATACACATTGTTTGTATGACCTGAAATTTGAAATTAAAAAATAAAAAATAAAAAAAAAGCAGCAATAGTTAAAGTAGCCCATCAGGATCCTGTCCATCAAACTGTAGGTGACCAACCAGAGACAGAAAGAGAACAAACTCTGGCCTTTTCTGTGTCGACATTTATTTTTGTAGTGGTCCAACTGAAATCATTTTCAGAGATGAGCCGCAGCATCAAACCTACTGACAGATGAGCTGTGGGACAGTTGACAGTTGAGTCCTGGCAGTTATGTGGATTGGCTGCCACTTGACACCCGCCACCCACTCAAACACCAATGCAGACCGATGTTGTGTTTGTGTCCAGTGTAATGAAGTGTGTTGTATGTTTCGTGTTGGACCCCCTCCAAAGCCAGACGGTTCATCTCAAAGAGGCTATCTGCTGATAAACCTTTATTCCCCCCAGTACGATGCCCCAGACTGCTCAGGGATGGCCAGAGGAACACGACCAAGAGCTCAAGATGTCGCCCTGGCCTCCAAATTCCCCAGATCCTAATCCCATCAGTCAAATGTGGGACGTGCCAGGACCTGACCTCACACCCCACAAGACTCAAAAGATCTGGCTCCAGACACCACAGAGAGGTTCTGTGTCCATTCCTCCAAAGGTCAGGGCCAAATCCAATGCAAGGAGGCCCCACAGTGAATCAGACTTGGCTCTGAGCCTCTGACCCATGGAGGCATGGACACTGGACCTCTGGGGTAGCGGTACCTCCCATGGATGCTCAGTCAGATTAGGATGTGGGGAATTTGGAGGTCAGGTCAACACCTTGAGCTCTGTCACGTTCTCCAGGCCATTCCTGAGCAGATTTTTTTGGGGTAGCATGGTGCATTGTCCTGCCAGGGGAGCCACTGCCATCGGGGAGTGCTGTGGGTGGTGCTATCCACATGAATGCAAGGACCCAAGGTTGCCCAGCAGAACATTGCATTGTAATGAGATGTGTATGTTTTAACAATGGTTTTAATGTTGTGGCTGATCGGTGTCCACCACAAGTAGTGTCAAGTGAGTAATAGTGGATACTTGGAGAGTTTTGCTGCTGCTTGCTGGTTACAGATCCATGTCAGCGTTGGAAAAATGACACTTTATCAACAGTCACACATTATGCTGTTATGTGCTGCAGCAGAACAAAGCAGGCTATAGTTCCCCTATTACACAAAACATTCCCTCATGCCACCATAATCAGTTCCAGTATTTGACACACACATGCTGTAGACAGGACATATTGTTGAATTCTGGCATTTGTATTGACAGGAAAACAAGCCACAGATGCAGCATGTGTTGACTGCGTATAAAGCAACAGTCTGTAGTTTGGGATATGTTGCAGGGTTCAGCGGGCTCTGGCATAGATCTTAAAGGGGTACGGCGTGCGTGTGGCTCCGATGATTCCCTCTGTACTCAGCTCGACTCCATCCAGAGTGGAAAAATAAAATTTCTGAAACAAAGTGATGAAAAACAGGAACAGCTCCACTCTGGCCAGGCCTTCACCCAGACATGCACGCTTTCCTGGAGAAACAAGCGTAAATGAAAACGAATGAAAGCAGATACATGGAAAATATCATCTTTAATGCCCTCATTATTTATGTCTCCTAAATGATTTCATATCTTGTGGTTCAAAGTTTCAAGTTACCTGCAGAGAAAGGTAAAAATGCGTCCCTCCTCACAAACTTTCCTTCTGCATCCAGGAAGTGTTCAGGGTTAAATGTGTCGGGAGTTTCCCATTCAGTCTTGTCAAACAGCACAGAGGTCAGGTTGGGCATCACTGAGGTTCCCTGCACACACACACACACACACACACACACACACACACACAGGCTGCAGTCATTTCATATTTATTATACAAACAAATAAGAAGCGAACATGGACAGTGCAGCCGAATGTTGTTGCCAGACCATGAGGTCATGTGGGTATTATATGTACACTCAATAAATAATCAGTTATTTGTCATGTCAGATGTTCATATCATGTTCTTTCATCTTTATCAGTGGAATGAACTCATGACGAAAACTTTGTTTATCTCACATGCCTCCTCAGTGAACAGACAATCCAAAAAGACAAACATTCTTCATGAACTGAAGTCACTGGACTCCATGTTTAACAACGCATCGCGACAACGGTGGAACGGCGCCGACTGCCCCTTCTTACACAACTCTCACTCTGGTACTGTTGCAGCTGACCAGCACACTGGGAACTCGCAGGTGAGTTTTCCAGCTCCAGCGTATTAATTTATGCTCATCCTACTGACTGACTCACACACCAATCAGCTTGTTTTGCTAATCTCAGCATTCGTCTATTATGTTTCATGTGTTTATCTTACTATACAGTGCCCTCCAAAAGTATTGGAACAGTGAGGCCAATTCCTTTATTTTTGTTGAAGACTGAAAATATTTGGGTTTGACATCAAAAGATGAATATGGGACAATAGATCAACATTTCAGCTTTCATTTCCAGGTATTTACATCTGGATCTGATACACAACTTAGAAGATAGCACCTTTTGTTTGAACCCACCCATTTTTCATGAGAGCAAAAGTATTGGAACATGTGACTGACAGGTGTGTTTTGTTGCCCAGGTGTCTCCCAATTACATTGATTATTCAAACAATAAATAGCACTGAATGTCTGAGCTCAGTTTCAGATTGGGTATGATAGGTTTTGCCTGTGCAGACTGCATTTAGAGGTGGAACCAACATGAAAACCAGAGAGCTGTCTATGGGTGAAAAAGAAGCAATTGTGAATCTGAGAGCAAAAGCAAAAGGATTTGCAACTAAATATTAAGTCTCATTCACTTTAATCTATTTTAAGTTTATATGTTCCAATACTTTTGGAGGGCACTGTATAATGAGGAAAACTCTGTGTGTGTGTTCCACGTTTTTCTCCTCACTGACTTGGTCAATCCATGTGAAATTTGGCACAGTGGTAGAGGGTCATGGGAGGATGCCAATGAAGCAATATTACATCAGTTGGCCAAAGGGGGGCGCAATAGCAACTGATTGAAATGTCAAACTTTGAATGGGCATATCTCATGCCCCGTATGTGGTAGAGACATGAAACTTTGCACAGAGATGCCTCTCCTCATGAGGAACACATTTGCCTCAAGAACCCATAACTTCCGCTTATATATAGATTTTCCGCCATTTTGAATTTTTTGAAAAACACTTCAAATGGATCTCTTCCTAGGAAGTTTGAGCGATCTGCATGAAACTGGGTGAACATAATCTAGGGACCAATATCTAAAGTTCCCTCTTGGCAAAAGTTGGAAAACTTACTAAAACTGAGCTTCTATAAGGCAATGAATATTGCGGAGGGCGTGGCTCATCACATAAAGGTGTATAACATCTCAAGGGTTTCACCCATCACCACGCAACTTTGTAGGCATATGACCACACATAATCTGAGGGGACCCCTCCATTATTGACCCCATCAAACAAAATGGGGGCGCTAGAGAGCTCATTTCTTATCTAGGCCTAACCGCCATATGGATTTTTACTAAACTTGGTAGATATGTAGATCAGGACGCCTCAAGGTGACTGGAGAAATTTAACTCTAATTGGCAACTGGGTGGCGCTATAACAACAGAAAAATGCTTCAAAATGGCTAAAATGAGACCGATCGCTGTGGCTCCCCCTGTGGACCAATGTTGGTGTTGTTTCTAATGTTTGGTATGACTAAGTCATGGTATGGTATGCTGTACATAATCACGGAAACTGTCAGTGTGTCATTCTGTCAGTCAGTCATTCTGTCTGTCCCACGTTTTTCTACTCACTGACGTGGTCAATCTATGTGAAACTGCACATAGGCATTGAGGACTGGCATAGGTAGAAGGTGACAAAGCTACCAATGGCTATGGACTAGTAAATATTAATCTAGGGGTGTGACATATCATGTCGTTCATAATATGGGTAGAACTTTTAATATGATATGAAGAATTCCTTTTGTGATACTCGCGATATTTCAACGTTATATTGTTATGCACAGTTCAAACAACTCAATCATTTAGGATTTTACTAAAAGAAGGAAATCACCTGTTGATTTTTATATATATAGATCCCAGGGGACATTTTTTGTATTTGGGAAGTGTTAAATGTGCAATATGTGATAGATTTAATTTAGTTGAACTATTAATATTGTAACAGAATCTGAATCTCACTCTGAGTTACTGTTGTTATTGTTGTTGTTCACAAACTAAAGAAATGATTAATTTTTCTTTAGTTTTTACTGAATATTTGAAGCAAACTGTAAAACTAGAACTCTTATTTTGGTACAATTTTATGTCCTTAAATTAATAATACTTTTTTTTTTACTAACTTGTCATATCATCAAAAATATCATTGCTGCAAAAATATGGTGAAATTATTTCAGGGCCATATCGCCCACCCCTAATACCCACCATAAAACAACCTGACCCTCTTACATTTATAATGCTTCGTCATACTTCAAAGGTTATTTTGGTGAAAGAAGCGCAGACGTAGTGTGATGCACTCCTCTACATAGACACTTTCAATATTACAATATTACTTTCAAATGAAGGGAACTAATAAGATGTAATGTAATACAGTTTGAGAGTAAGTTGCCCAACAATGTTTTTTCTGTTGTTAAATGCGGCTTTGGAGCCTCTGTTCACTGTGGAGGCATGTGAGGAATTTTCTTCCCAAAATTAAGGTGCCACATAATTGATATAGATGATTATCATTTTATGGGTGAGGTATTCCTTTAGCTGACTTCCCCACATTATTATATTTCAAACAACACAAACTTACAAACTAGTTATGTAATAAACACATCCTGGACACAACTGTCTGTTCTGACTCTGTAGTTACTGAGCGCTTTAAGCAGATGCACCTTGGGTATGACGTAACCGCCCACAGTCGTATCCTTGGCGGCCATTCTGAGTCCATTGAGAGGAACGATGTTTCCCATCCTCTGGATCTCATGGATGACGGCGTCGCTGTAGGGCAGGTTGGGTCTGTCTGCCATCGTGGGCTGTCGGGTCTGTCCGATCACTCTGTCTATCTCTGCCTGGACTTTGTCTAGGAGGTGAAATAAAAGATTTTTAACTCATCAGTTAAAGTGACTTCTTTGACCTTCTACATGTTCTTTTGTATCTTTTAATCTTGTTTCTGTGCTGCTGCTGTGGAAGTCACTGATATGTGAACACACACCCTGGATATGAGGGTTCTTGATGAGGTAGATGAGGCCCCACTGCAGAGTCTTAGAAGTGGTTTCACTTCCAGCCAGGAACAGATCCAGACAACACAGAACCAAGTTGCCTTCGTTAAAACCAAGGTCACTGTTCCTGGTGTGCTGTGAGGCGCAGACACAGACAGACATGTAGTCAGTTACAGTTTAGGTTTCATACATACTGATTGGCTTATCAACATTGTAAGCACCGTACTTTCTCCTCTATCAGGAAGGTGTCGATGTAATCTCGTAGGTTGCTGGGGTCCAGATCCAACTTGTGCCTCTCGACCTCTGCCCTGATAGATGCCTCCAGACATTTGGAGTTGCTGAAGATGCCGTTGTGAGGCCCCGGCAGGTGTTTCATCAGTGCTGGGAACGCATCATAAAGCTGTTTGGAGAGGAAACAAGGGACTTGTTCAGTGGTGACGTTTATATCCACTGGCAAATAAAAGTCTCACTTTAGTTTACAGTGTTTTCTGATAGGAAACTTTGAATTGACATGACGTAGCTTCAGCCTGCACCTTTTTGGATTACAGAAGTGTCTAAGTTATGTTAGGTTACTTTATTGTATCTGCCATTTTCTGTGAGAGGCTGTGACTTTATTTACATGAATTTGTAGATTAATACGTGATGTTCTTGTTTCTATTTGCAGACCAAAATAAATTCTAATAATACATCCTACCAAAAAAAAAACAAAAACGTATCAGTAACTGGACACAGTCGCTGTCATTAGATTTTAAAACCTTACTTTTGGTGGTTGAAAGTTAAGATTCGAAAACAAAATACTGGAGTTTAAAAAAAGCCTCAGTTTTTCACTATAGTCATGCACGCTGCTCGTGAGTTAGTGCCAACAGTTTGTTTTGGCCAAATTTTGAATGAGACTTGTGGGCTAAAGTGATTTTGGTGAAATATCACTATTTTAAGATCAGATTTGTTTTTTGTTTTTTTTCTGATGGAAGCATTTGTTGCACCTGGTTTGTTCAGAGATCGTCAGAAATTTGAAAATCCCATGATAATTTCTGTTTATACAGTTTCTTGCTGTAATAAATGGTGTCATTTTGGCAATTTTGAAGAAAACGTCTTTGAGACCCGGAGGTGGCTTTGGCAATTTATTTTTACTTAGAGGAACATAAGTCCCTCCCTAATACTTAAAAATTATTTGACATTCCTCCCGTGTTTTGCACTCCCTCATAAGTACGAACAGTCTCTAACTCAAGTTCATTACTTTCCTACACATTCCTGTTGACTTTCTTGACGTTTATCAGCAGATTACTAAGTTAACACGCTGGTTCTGATCCATGTTATGGATGGATATAGCCATGTGAGGTTGTAAGTTGTGTCTTGATGCCTTAAGACAGTGGTTCCCATCTGGTCTAGGCATGTGGTCCAGATTTCTCCTTAGTCATTAGTTCAAGGTCCACACAGTTTAATATATTCAGTGTCATACTTGTGTTTGGCCATATCGTTGAGCTAGTTCACTGTCTCTGTCAAGTAGCTATCAGATAGCCACAGGAAACGACACTTCAGAATAAAAGCTCTGCATGTCAAAATAAAGTGTGTTTTTTACAAACTCAATACATTTGCGAGCTATTTGCGGTCCATTCAGAATGATCCCGCAACCCACTTTTGGACCACGACCCACCGGTTGGGAACCACTGCCTTCAGAGGATGGTTGGTGTGTGTGTGTAGATGCTCATATAAGTGAGGAAGGAGCCTTCTTTGCATCTTACTAGAGCCCATATGGAGCCCTCCAGATAGGCCATCTCAGTCAGATTCCTCAGCATGCTCTGGAAGTTGTGGTCGCTGTAGTCAAATCGTCTCCCAAACACTATCTGGCAGATGATGTTGGCCACGGCATTGTTTAAGAGGGGCACAGGGTCAAACGGCTCACCTGTAAAGAAGAATCATCCTCAGTCCGAGTACACTGTGTATTCTATGTTTAAAATCCGTCGTGTTTTGCTCTTTTTTCTGTTTGTTCTTTCTGCCAACCTTTCTCCTTCTCCATTGCCTCCTGCAGATGATGACTCTCTTCGAGGATGCTCTGCTCCATGGAGCTCTTGGCCAGACCAAAGGTACGTAACATGGCCATGGCAAAACGCCGCTGTCTCCTCCACACATTCCCATTACTGAAGAAAAGCCCAGCTGAAAGAGAGAAACCCAACGACTTTACTCAGGCAGGGATCAGGAGGCAGGTTGACCTCTTTGACACTGATGTACTGTGTGTTTGTGTGACCCACCTGAGTTCCCTGAATAAATTCTGGTCACCATCGGGCTGTAAGGCCGGTCCACAAAGTTGTCGGCCTGTGTGACTAAGGCTTCCTTCACCATTCTCCACCCAGACACAAACACTGTTTTGTGTCTTCCCAGACGTATGCAGAACACATTCCCGTAAACATCAGCTAGCTGTGGAAGCAGGAGCAGAGAATAAGTGTCCTGTTGTCTAACATGTGACTCTGATAAGATGCATATTTCAGGACAATAATTTCTCCGACTCTGTGACTCATCATCGACAGGTTTTTAGCATTGTTTGTACCATAAACTTTGTAATGTTCTGTTGAATCTCATAGGATTTTTTCTTTGTTTATGGATCAGTCTCTGCTGCACAGTACAGTTTAGTTGCGTAGATACAGAGAAAGTAGCATCTTACACTTTCTTTTGCAAAAACACAACTGCATAATATGAGAGTCTGATTCTGTCATCTTACCTTGGTAAGGTAAATGTGAGGCTGTTTAGATTCAATGTTGAATATGTTTCCAAAAAGAGGGAGAGATGGCGGTCCTGGTGGAAAGTTGGGTGGATCCTTTTTGCTCTGAAAATACACTAGGAGGAGAACGGCAAAAATAAAAAGCAGCATTCCCCTCGGATCGAGCCACAGACACAAATCACACAGCCACATTGTGAGGCTGAGGAGAAGAGCGGGGGACTGATAAGGATCACTTGCTCCATCGTCAATTTGTAGTTAGAGATGGGCTGGTACTCTGCTGACTCACAGCTTATGTTGATATAATGACCTGTGTGTGTGAGGGAGAGGAAACAGCCCTCCATTAACTAAATACAGAGTATGAATAAGCTAAAACTGACCCAAACTTACACACTATAACAAAGCGGAGGCGTTAAATTAGAAAATTTCAGCCGTATCAGAAGCTGTCTCATAATGCATATGATACGTAGGCATCAGTTTTTGACAGAGAAAGACGTGTGAAGTAAAAAACACAGTATCTCTGGTGCTGCTGCATTAATTTTGATCATTTCATCATTTCCTCAGACAACAGCACCTTTAACACTGTCTCTTCAAGGAAGGAATTTTACGCTGTTGTATAGCCTCAGTTCTGTATAGAAGGTACAATCCCAGGATGAGGGGACTGTGTTGTCTTGCCTTTAAGACGGTATCAGATGTAGCAACAGCACCGAAATGATGTCTGTAGAAAAGGGACACCCGGCGGGATGGGATCCTAGGCAGCACGGGTGTGATGTTTTGATGCTGTGTTGCGACCTGCCACGGAAGATTTAACAAGTATGTGGTAGCAGTTAGCAGCTAACTTAAAGAAGAGCAGCAGCTGAACATGTTTTCAAATTGGGAAAATAATGTGGTCCGCCATTTAACAGAGACGGTTCGAACACGCCCCCTCCCTCTGGAACACCCTCCCTATACACATCCGTGACTGTCCAGATCCATCCACCTTCAAATCACTCCTCAAAACCCACCTTTTCAAATCTGCTTTTAACCTTTAAACATTAGCTTTTCGTTCTCTGTTTCTCATGTACCCCCCCCTCCCTTTTTTTTTTGAATGCACTTCTTTGTTTTAAATGTAAAGCGTCTTTGAGAGCTGTAAAAGCGCTATATAAATAAAATGTATTATTATTATTTATGAGGTGGGGGAGCCCATCTGCCCATCTGTATGGAGTTTGCATGTTCTCCTGTTCTTCTGCGGGTACTTCCTCCCACAGTCCAAAGACATGCAGGTTAATTGGTGACTCTAAATTGTCCGTAGGTGTGAATGTGAGTGTGAATGGTTGTCTGTCTCTATGTGTCAGCCCTGTGATAGTCTGGTGACCTGTCCAGGGTGAACCCTGCCTCTCGCCCAGTGTCCCCTACCTACAACGATGTAGCAGCCATGTAGCGCAATCGCTGTGTAAAAATGGCTTATGTTATCAAAGTTGAAAGCTAAATAGGTGGAATAATCCTTTAACATTTTACATGGTACCATACCATTTTTACCATGAGTAAAGGTGTTTTTATCATAGCATCTTCCAAATTCTTATTTTGGCATAATATTATGGTTCATAGAAAATTAGACAACCCATGTGAAAGTTGATGCAAAAATTTTGTATTATTATTTATGTCATGGTCAGTTGGCAATATCTGGGGCTGAAAAATAAAGCCCATGTGGAAGTGCCACAAACTGCAGTTATGTGAATGGTCACTAGAGGCTGGCTGCAAAAGCAAGTCAATGTTAAAATGACGTTACGGGACAATTAAACGTGTTTACAGCCTGGTACAAAAACAGTTTTGGTCTTTGTCGTTAGTTTACTCATTCATGACAACTGTACATTTGAATTAGAATTTTTAAGGGCATTGGAAGTTGTGTAACATGGCCGCTTTTAGTGACAGGCAGTTTGTGAGGCGTCACCACAGTCTATGAGTCAGCTCCACCCTCTCATCCACATATGGTCACTTGTGGCTCCGAAAAGCCAAGATAATGACTAGCAAAATGCCGAACTCAAAATAGAAGTCCGCAAACCAGTGGATGAAGTCATGGTAGCTATGTTCATAATTTTTTTACAGTCTGTGGCTGCACTGTACATTGTGTATCGTTGTCTGCTGTCATTCCCAATACTACCACTAGATGGCACCAAAAATACTGAAACTCTCATACTATTACATTCCCAGAAGAAGCTCTGGCTGAAGGGGGTGGAGTGGTGTCAGTGGTCCATAAATCCTTCAGTCTATTAGCCAAACAGCATTGTAGCATAAAAGCGACCAAATGTAGGGTTGCAGATTTGAGAGTGTTATCGCGAGAAAGCCAAAAACCAATACAGCGTCTCAGTTTTAGTTTCAGTGTTAGTTACTTCCTGTCATGGCCTTAAACAGTTCCTAGTATTTATTCATTTGACTGTAGACCCCTCTGTCCTGTATCAGCACCTTTTCCACTGTTCACCTCACCTGCCTCCCATTTCTCCGTCATCTTAGCAGTACCTGTAATTGTCCCTTGTCTCCATTCAGTTGCCATATTACCTAGTTTGCATCTGCCCTAGCTTTTCCAACACCAGTTTTTCCACATACCTAAATCTGCATGCCTGGCTGCTTGTTGTTTGGATTGATACTTATTTGCCTGCCCTTTCGGAATAAGTTAAAACTAGTCCATACCCATTGAGTGCACAGTTGCCCATGTACAGTTTCACATGGTGTGTGTTTGGGATACAGGTCATAGGAAATCGGAGATTAAATAGTCAACTAAACCCATTAAGAAGAGCAATGTATTCAGACAGAGTTTTTGTGAATTTGATAGTACGATGTCCAATGTACCATTTTCCTTAACCTGCTATCCTGCGATTCGGCCACAGGGCCATCGGTCGCACAGATATTGGTCCCTAGATTATGTTCACCCAGTTTCATGCAGATCGCTCAAACTTCCTAGGAAGAGATCCATTTGAAGTGTTTTTCAAAAAATTCAAAATGGCGGAAAATTTATATAAGCGCAAGTTATGGGTTCTTGAGGCAAATGTGTTCCTCATGAGGAGAGGCATCTCTGTGCAAAGTTTCATGTCTCTACGACATACAGGGCATGAGATATGCCCATTCAAAGTTTGACATTTCAATGGGTTGCTATAGCGCCCCCCTTTGGCCAATTGATGTAATATTGCTTCATTGGCATCCTCCCATGACCCTCTACCACTGTGCCAAATTTCACATGGATTGACCAAGTCAGTGAGGAGAAAAACGTGGAACAGACACACACAGACAGAGTTTTCCTCATTATATGATAAGATATAGTAAGATGAAAAATAAATAAAATAAAATACAAATAAATTTTAAAAAAGCATTATCAAATTCACAAGTATGTGACACACCGACGTCTTCCCCAACACACACACTTAAAGGGGACTTTACATTACTTAAACTGTTTTTCCTGTTGTTCAGTAAAGGCTATCTTGAACCAGGCACTCAGTTACCATTCCACATAACCAGAGTAGACTGTAGTTAGTAGATAAAAGATATGTTTATTTTATCTTGGAAACATCGTCTTCTCTTCTGTCTACAGATGCACAGATCTGGTTTAGGTCAAGTCACGTTATTTGCACTACAACAGCTGAACTCACATCCGGTCAGGTTGGCTCTGTTCTTTAGTTGCTTCCAACATTCAGCTCTCCTACTGTCCTAGATACAAGATTGTCATGGCAAACGTCCTGTCCCGTCTGTTATAGTCAGAGAATGTCCTTTCCCAGCTTGACAGTTTCCTTTTCACTGCCTGTATTGATGCGGTTTCCTGGGCCACTGAGTTCAAGATTGAGAAGTCTTACTCTGAGTTTCTTGCTCCGAGCACCTGCCCTCCTAATCGTCTCTTTGTTCATGGTATGCCAGACGTGACGTGCTGTATCTTGCGTATCACATATGGCATGCCACCCAGGTATGACAAACACCACTTACATTGATAATGGCTTGCAAATATGTCGCTAGCTATGAATGTATGTTATATTGTGTTTTTACCAAAGAAGTAAACCAGATTTGTAAAACAAGTCATTTCTTAGTCATTAACAAATGTGTTAAATGGTTTGTTTATGTAATTTAGTTCATTATTAACTTATAGATACATTACGTATCATACATAGCAGTAGTATGAAGAAATCTGAAACAATACAGCTTGAATGTAATTTTGAAGAGCATATGTTTATGAAGTCTTTTTACATTCTGTCATTAAAGTCAAAGGTAAATTACAAGCAGTGCCATTATTACAAAAATATTTGTATGTAAAAAAAACAACTATCACATAGATTTGACTGTACAGGCACTAAGAGTAAACCAGGCAATCATTAAACAGTTAAAGTCTGAGACTGAAAAGTAACTGCAGCTTTCTCTCCTAAAGCGTTCATCTTGTTTGTTGCATATTGTTTAGGTGAAAAATGACAGTGAGATGTTACAAAATTCAGCGCAACTTGGCGTAAACCTTGAAGGGGTGCGGTACACGCGTAACTCCAGTTACCCCCTCTGTGCTCAGCTCTACTCCATCAGGAACGGAGAAAGTGAACTTCTGTAGTAAAGCAACCAAAAACAGGAACAGCTCCATCTTGGCGAGGCCTTCTCCAAGACACACACGTTTCCCTGAAGAGTCCACAAACACACGTTACGATGTATAAAGCTCAGGAAAAAGTAAATAGGTCCAGTCTGGTTCAGGTTATGCTTAAGATTGAGGTGAATGTCGTTTACCTGCAGAGAAAGCCAGAAGGGCTTCTCTCTTCACAAACTTTCCCTCAGCATCCAGGAAGTGTCCGGGGTTGAAGGTGTCTGGAGTCTCCCATTCAGTCTTGTCAAACAACACAGAGGTCAGGAAGGGCATCAAGGTTGTACCCTAAAAACAAGATGTTAGGTTAACACCAAGCAATGACGCATCAACAATCATATTTTAGAGATTATCTTGTTAAGACTTAAAATGACTGTGAACTAAATGCACCTTGGGTATGACATAATCACCCAGTGTCGTATCTTTGGCGGCCATTCTGAGCCCATTGAGAGGAACGATGTTTCCCATCCTCTGGACCTCATGGATGACAGCGTCAGTGTAGGGCAGGTTGGGTCTGTCTGCCATACTGGGCTGTCGGGTCTGTCCGATCACTCTGTCTATCTCCACCTGGACTTTGTCTAGAAAACAAGAAAATTGAGGGAATTAAACTTGTAGCAACATGGTGAGAAA